GTACTGCCTGGACTGTATTTTCCCTGCCTTCCCTGAACCTTTCTTGACCTAAGAAAAAAAGAAACAAAATATCCCCCTCTAGTGGTCGAAGGCGGAATAGCAGCTTCCCATTAGTTTCTATTGACAGAAAAGAGCAGGTACGGATCAAATGGTTTTCAATGCATTCCTATGGGAAATGCAGATTTGACCTGAGAACTTGTTGACTTTAGAACCGCCTTCCAATACGGATTAAGTTCTCAAGTCAAGACCCCACTGTACTCTCATTTGCATGCTTTTGAACTGCTAGGTTGGCGGGAGCTGGGATAAGCGATGGGCGCTCACTCCGTTGCGTGGATTCGAATCATACAGCTGAAGATCTACAGACCTTACAGCACAGAGGCTCCTGCGGTGTAACCCGCAGCATCACCACGTCCCATTTCCAATAGTTAAGTGTTATCAAATTGAGAATTTGAAAAGCTGTGTCACTGTATCACCATCTTGAAAGGACCTATCCATTCAGCATTTTCTAGGAGGCAGAGCAAAGGTGCCCCAGAGTGCCTCTGCACTGGAAATTCTGAACAGTTTACAGAAAGCAAAATATCCTAATTAGCCCAAAGAAATATCAGGAGCTGTAATTCAGTGAAAAGTATTGGAGGATATATTTATTAGAACAACAATTATTTTGAGAATTGAGGAGTTACTTTATTTACTAGATCTACTGTTTTTCAATAGGCAATACGTAACTATTTCCCCCCTTTAAGCTTACAAGGAGCTTGGCATTTCTTAATTTTCTGAAAGTTATTGCATGGTTTTGGGCTTCAGTTAAACATTTATTTTTAAATTTTCCCATTTTATTCTTCTTTGTCATTTCCCCTTCAGGCTACTTTTTTTTGTTTGTTTTCTACCCTCTAGACTTTATCATTCTTCGTGTCCCACCAGTAGGTGGGAACTTAAACTAAACAGTGTACTTCATATAAGTTTTTTTCGTGAAGACTCTATAATATGGCCGTTGGGGAAATCCCATTCTTATCATACAAATCCTGAACAAATCCTGACTATGTAAGGCAGCACTGGAAATGATAGCACTGTGACATTTGAGATATTGTTGAACTTCAGTTTCCATTCAACCTTAGCTAGCCTGGTCAGTTATGAGATATGATGGGAGTAGTACCATATAAACATATCTCCATATTCTGCTATAATGTATCTATGAGCTTTATATATAATATAATCACCTGTCCTTCCTGAGTTTCAGGCAATTCTTTTTTAGCTCCCTGATTTTAGTGTCTGGTTACTTTCCATATTTGTTGCTTAGCTGTGGGTTTAAATAAGAATGTATGAGGTATTGCAGGATTTCCTGAACCTCACCTCATCTGTCCAGCAAACCTGTGTGGTGTAGTGTTCAAAGTGTTGGGACTAGGACTCAGGAGCCTAGGGTTCAAATCCTGACTGGGCTGTGAAATTCCTTGGGCCAGCCATATTGTGACCTACCTCAAAAGGTAGTTGTGGGGATAAAATGGGGAGGAGGAGAGCTATGTACCGTTTCCTCGAAAATAAGACCTAACCTGAAAATAAGTCCTAGTACAGTATGATTTTTCAGGATGCTCGTAATATAAGCCCTACCCTGTTAAGTGAAACCCCACCCTCCGTCATTGTGCAGCTACCAGAAGAAGAAGACATGATTGTATTTGAATAAATATAGATTGTTGTACATGAAAAAATAAAACATCCCCTGAAAATAAGCCCTAATGTGTTTTTTGGAGCAAAAATTAATATAAGATCCTGTCTTATTTTCAGGGAAACACGGTACACTTGAGGTTACTGGATGGGATAGAAATGTAACCAGTAAATAAAATGGATAAATATCCTACCTGGTGACCTGAACTAAATACCTTAAATACCTTCCTGTTGCAAAAATGCAGCTCTCTAGTTGAGTCTAAACTTTGCAGTCCTGTTTAAGAAGGACAGTCAGCTATAAGGTTTGCTTTTGTGTTTCTAACTTGATTTTGAAAGTCATGGAGGTGCTCCTTGGAGATTTTACTTTGAGCTGATGTTGCAGCTAAACACCACTTAGATTTTCATGATTTGGTTGTTCTTGATGGTAGGAACATCTTGTCTTCTTAGTCATACTGGTAAATGTGTCTGGGCTAGTTGTGTCCTATAAAATCACAATGTGTCAGAATAATAGCGTCATAGCGTTGTAGAGCTGCCAGGCACCTCAAGGATCATTGAGTCCAGCTCTCTGCAATTGCAAGAAATCCACACTTTAAAGCATCCCTGATAGGTGGACATTTGATCTCTGTTTAAAAAAATCTACAGTGAAGGAGAGCCTATCATCTTTTGAGGCAGTAAGTTCCTCTATGGAAAGGCTCTCACTGTTAGGAAGTTCTTTCTTATGTTCAGTTTAAATCTGCTTTCTTGTCACTTCAGATCATTATTTCTGTTCGTATCCTCTAGAACTACAAAATACAAGTCTGCTCCATCCTTCACATGACAGGTCTTCAAACACTTGAAGATAGCTATCATATTGCTTCTCAGCCTTCTCTTCTCCAGGTGAAATATGCCAAGTTCCCTCAACCTTGACTGATAGGGTTTGGTTTCTAAGCCTTTTACTGTTCTGGTTGTCCTCCTCTGGGCAGATTCTAGCTTCTTGATAGCCTTCTTGTGGTGTGGTGCCTAGAACTGAAGTGAAGTCTGATCAAAGTAGAATATATCCTATTATAGTATGTGCTTTTTTGGGTGCTCTATCACAGTGTTGGCTCATATTCAGCTTGTAATACACAAAGGATAGAACCTTGTGGCACTCTACTCATCACTCTTCTCCAATATGATGAGAAGTCATCGGTGAACACTCTTTGGATGCGGTCTGTCAACCAGATACAAATCCACCTAACTGTAGCATAGTCTAGCCCACATTTTACCAACTTGGTCACAAGAAAATAACAAGGGACTTTGTCAAAAGCCTAGCTGAAATCAAGATGCACTACATCCAGAACATCTCCCTTATCTACCAAGTTTGTGCTTCCATCCAAAAAAGAGGTACAATTTGTCTGGCATGAGTAGTTATTGAGAAAAAAAAAATTCTGAGTCTTAGAAATCACAGTGTAAAATGTCAGTACTTACAAGCACTTGTTGTAAATGTGGTAGGCATACGTCTAATGTGTCATGGCTTTATTGTTCGAGAAAATGAAGGAGACAAAAAAGAACAGGTCTTGAATGTTGGTCTTATTTTGTTGGAAACTCTGGATTTTGAAATTTTGCAGTTCATTTTTTTGAGCAAAGAATATATTTTGGCTATTCTCCTGCTAGGCAGAATGAGACAGTAGCTGAGATGGACAATTACCTTCTTACACCTCCACGGAACTGAAATGGCAACAAATTTGCTGCTTCACCTCAGTGTCTTGGGACAGTCCTAGGATCTGGTTTAGAACTTGAGCCTAAGATTTTGTTTGCTTCTTTGATTAATTTGTTCCTCTTGTCCTCTTGGATATAAGTAGCCTTAGGGCACCTCAGACAATAACACCAAACCAAATCATTAAAGCAAGTGTGACAGTTTTTAAGGATCTGAGTCATGCAACAGAAACTGCCTATACTAACTTTTTAACATGCAATAGTTTTCCAACAAGATTTATGCCTATTGTGTTATGCTGGTGGTTAATGTTCTGTGTCAGTGTGTCTTCCACACCAAAAATCTAATGGCATTAGGGACTCTATAGTGTTTTCCAAAATAGCATCGTTTGCTCATTATTACCTCAAAAACAATTTGTTACAGGTAATACTATTGCTTGTAATATATTTCTTTTGAGCTGTGAGCAGTCTACATAGTTGGCTGGCTCTTTTGGAATACAGGGGATATTACTGAGGCAATTAAATAACCTGTTTTTCTCATGAGAACAGGAGCTGCCATGTGGATGTAGTTTTAGTGTGATCCCTCCTTGCCCCCAGCTTTGAAATGGGAATGTTAAGCAGTTAGTGGAACTGGAAATTCTTTGTCTTACTGTTGTAGCTGGTGGAAAGGAGAAAATATGCAGGAGGAAATGAAAGTTTATTTGAATCTGTTTATTTAAAATAAGTATACCTTGCCTTTGTGCTCAAAAAGACCCAATGATTTATATGTTTTGAAATGAATTTTGAAGATTTGGCTGTCTTGGATTTTTTTTTTTTTTTTGATAGGTGCCTCTTACTGAGCCAGTGGATCCGGTGGATATGGAAGATTACCTTCTTACTCATCCACTTGCAGTGGAATCCGGTCCTTTGAGAGACTTGCTTGAATTTCCTTCAGATGATATTGAAGTTATCTATAGTCCACGGGAATGCAGGACACTTGTATTATCTGTACCTGAAGAAAGGTGAGGAGACTTTGGCCTTGATAAGCACACTAATATAGGTGGGAGACAATATCTCTGGAGCCATTGATAGGGTTTGATCTCAGAATTTCCTTACTCTTATGTTCCTTTTGCATGCATTTAATAGGCTGGACCAAAGAAACTTTGAAAAGAAAATTGCAAGCAGTGTGCAGGGTTGCTTTGTGGAGATTGTCGCTTGCACAACAGCTGTGATTGCACAAGAAGTACAATCCTACATTACTAGACTGATGGGATTTTCTAATCATTGGGTGTTCAATAAGAGACTATACATAGTGTCAGGCCATAGAAAATAGAATTTTGCCCATAAAATTCTGGGCCAAGGAGAGATCAGTGAATTGGCTGGTGGCATAAAAAACAGAGGCCTTGCTAGAATTGAAACATGGGACACAAAGATGGAAAAACATTGAAGGAGTTGAGTTTCTGGAGAAAGAAACAGGGAAGATTAGAAAGAAAAGCCCTTGAAAGGATGTATTGTCTACATGGATCAACTTAGGATGGTTTTTTCCTCATTTCACTGTTGCTAGTCCTTAGTGGCCTGCCTATCTGATTGTTTCCTGTCAAATATTACCAGAGCTATACAGAAAAGCATCAGGCCAGAGTAGTGCTGAGATTATATGGGTGAGATTGCATTAGGCAGAAAAATAAACTCATTATATGAGTATTGTAATCTTTAAAGTTTGTGCAATAGCATGTAATGCTAATACTCAACATAATATTAAATGATAGTGTGGTCTCACCCTAAAATAAATTGGACTTTTGTAGTTTTAATAGATCATACTGCTTTTTCTTTCCTTTTCTGTTCTTACCTATAGTGAAATGGATCCTCATGTAAGGGATTGTGTGAGAAGCTACACAGAGGACTGGGCCATTGTGAACAGAAAGTAAGTTATGTTTTTCTGTATTTTGAAAACTATCACATGAATTGTGCAGGGGGAAAGGTTAATTTTTAAATGGGTAGTGCTTATAAATTCAGAGCTTGTCTGAGGCCATCTAGAACTTTTGTGACATGTACCTTTAAGCAACAGTCAACAAGGATAATGTCCTGAAAAGCAAAATTAACTTTCTGAAAATGTTGAACGGAATAACTTGGGCAATTTCTTCCTTATTCTTCTGGTTTTTACCCTGTCCAGAAGCACGTTAAGTGAAAATGTTTGCCGTAGGCATGGAAGAAAAGAAGCCATCTTCCAGTGTCCCTGTCATTGGGATGGCTCATAGGTTGTGTCAAAATGAATCGTATGTGTCATGTTTGTAATCATGTAGTAACATAAACACATCTATTAACTATTCAGCAATTTATATCATAACAAGAAAATACCAAGATAGTGTTAAGAAGAGTAGAAGAAGGTAGAGAAGGAAACGGCAGAATGAATGAATGAATAAATAAATAAATAAAACAAAACATTCTCTTCTGAGATCATAGCAATGTTAGTGTCCTTATGGCTGCATTCAGATGTCACACTAAATCATGATTTAGTGGTGCATGAATGAGCCTAGCTTTTCCCTAATGTTTGCATCCACTCTTTTTGTATGATTGGAAGAAATAAGTCAGAATTTAATGCTTCTACTTTTCATTAACAGATCATACTGTTTGATCCTGAAACTATCGTTAGTCATTGCTATTGTTAGTTTAAATAAATCAACTTCATAAATAACAATTAGGAATTGTCTTGTTTGACATTTACCATTGTTAAAATTAACCATGATTTACTGAGTTTGGATGACTTAGCAAGTTGTGATTAATCAAAAGTGGAAGTGAAATCTTTGAATTTTTTTCTTTCCGACTGCCCAGAAGGAGAGGGAATGCATGAGCCCTGGTGATGATGATCCTTCACATCTTGCTAAGCCAGAGATAGGTGAACTGTGATTAGCAAAACCTATCATAGCAATTAGGATTGAAAAATGCTTTCTTCTGCCAAATCCAGTAGCATGCCCACATTTCTGGTTGCCTGGTTGGGCCCATTAAAGACTCTTTGAACAGAAAATGGGTGCTGTTGAATGGTTTATCCAGATGATAAATTACAATTAATCAAAATGGATCTTATAAGGAACATCTTTATTGTTTTCTCTTTTGCACCCCCTTAGCACTGATTTAGGATTTTTTTAAAATAAACAGAACATAAGGGATTTAGTCAGTGTTGCGAAGGACACAATTTATTTTGATTAAATTGTGTGTATCCAACTATGTTATTATGTGACTCAGCAGGTGGTTATATTTGAGGTATTCTTTGGGCATATGGAGATAGCACTCTTCCCTCATAATAATAGTAATAATGATGACAATGATGTGCCATCAAGTTGATGCTGACTTAAGGTTATCCTTTCCAGGGGCATAGAGCAATCAGAGATGGTTTATCAGGGTGCCTTCAGAATAAGCAGCACGCTTTGCTTTTGCTTATTCTGGAGGCACCCTGGGAAGTGTAGTCCAAGGCTACAGGGGGAAGGGGAAGTAATAATATATGCTGAACTGAAAGCTGTGATTTTTTTGCAAATTCCATTGAAAGCCGTTGGAGTTGCTTCTGCTTAATCAAGGCAAGGACTGCATTTTTAGAGGTGAAAGTACATTTGCATATTAAAAGCAATGCAGAATATTAGCAAGATGCTGTCCGGAGCATCACAAATTATTTCTAATGAGGAGCTTCATATATTGCTAAAGTTTTATGCTTATTTGTCGTGCAAATAAGTTTCTTCTTCTTCTTCTAAATAGGTATCACAAACTGGGAACAGGATTTAACCCCAACACATTAGACAAGCAGAAGGAAAGGCAAAAAGGCCTGCCCAAACAGGTCTTCGAGTCTGATGAAACACCGGATGGAAACAGTTACCAGGATGAGCAAGTAGTTTACCTTATTGAACCTGCCATTTTGAAAGTTCATTTTGTAAAAAATAAAAATAAAAAAATGTTGTAAACAAAAGTCCAGGTGACAGACTTTTCCTCACTTTATCTTGCAAACTGCATTTGATTTCTTCAAACCTCAGGATGACCTTAAAAGACGCTCCATGTCCATAGATGATACACCACGGGGCAGCTGGGCTTGCAGCATTTTTGACCTGAAAAACTCCCTCCCAGACGCTTTGCTTCCAAATCTTCTGGATCGTACCCCAAATGAAGAAATAGACCATCAGAATGATGATCAGCGGAAGTCCAACAGACACAAGGAGCTGTTTGCATTGCATCCAGCCCCTGATGAGGTATTTTCCGGATTCATGCATACTAGCCCTTCCCTGAGTTAAACATACAAGAACCACAGCCTCCTCCAGTTTACCACTTCTGTAGAAAGGCAGGGAGCACATAATTCCCTTGCTTAGAGCAAGAGAATAGGAAGGCTTGCAATTCAAAAATTGTAAAAGTGGGAGGAAAATAATTTGAGGTTTTGCTACAACCTCCTTTGAGTTTTAAAGCTGCAGTTGTGAGCCCTCTTGTCTGATAATGCTCCCAGTTTATTTCTGTGAGAGTTACTTCTGATTAGAAGTGCGTACGTTGTAAATCTCTGGTCTCCTGTTCTCCATAGATGTAAGGATTTGCAGCTTGCTTGAAAATGAAAACTAGTTACCTGATGAAATCTGTTGAATTCTGCTGCACCCCATGATATCCCATGTGTTTGCCGCTGTATAGGTTTAAGATTCCTTGGTTCTAGCTTAGAGGTGGACAGTTCCCCAGATTCAGGCATGGCATTATTCTCATCGAACACATTGAATCCAGTGAAATACTGCATGACTGCCTTCACGCAGGTCACCTGTTGACCTGTAGTCCCTTCCAGAGCATAGAAACCTGCAGACTGGCAAGACAGAGTGTCTCCTTCCCTGCTAGCTGGTAAGGGATGGTTGAAAAAGCCACACACCCCCCTCAGTGGCACATGTTTACTGGTGGCAGTGGCAGTAGCAGTAAATAAGACTGGTGTGGCCCAGAAAAAGAGCCAGGAGACACTCTCAAATTACTCTTGATCAGTGTTGCCTAGTAGTATTCTGCAAACTGTGGAGTCTTAAAAATCTCTTGTAGGAAATGCAGAGAGAGGCAGGTTTGTGTCTGTAGGACTGCTGCAAAAGTTGCCTCAAGTAGCATGCAATTAAGCCAGATCTGCGGGCATGGCTTTTAAAGGCATTTTTCTCTACAGACCTCCAATCTGTTATTACAAAGCTACGCTAACTTAAATCCCTTCACTCTTATTTATAGTTACAGTAAATGTCTCATGCTGTTAAGCCTTGAAGATTAAATTGTATTTATGTCTTAGTTGTGTTCCGTAGGGAGGGGACATTTTCTACCTTCTTTAGACATTTAACAATACACTTTGTTGTATGGAAATAGTGGGTGCATTACTCACTGAGTTTCTGCCCGATTCTAGGAAGAACCAATAGAAAGGCTGAGCATCCCTGAAATCCCCAAAGAACATTTTGGCCAGAGGCTGCTTGTGAAGTGTTTGTCTTTAAAGTAAGTAGTGGTTTAACCATGGGACTTTCATGGTGCCAGATTTTGTTTTTCCATACATTTCCACTTATTCATGTCTCTGTAGCATGTAAGAAAAAGATCCGTTATTTACATTGAGAGGGAGAGGGAGAGAGAGAGAGAGAAATGCATCCAGATACCAGGATACTTTATGCCTCTAGATCTTGTCTGTGTAAGCTTTTTCAAGTTTTGCACATAAATTGCTCAGATGCAGCTCTGTGTTTCTATGGGTGTAACAGACACAAGCACCATTGTTTTATCCAAATATTTAAATATCTGTGGTGATGCTGGAAAGTGTTTGCTCTGTCCCACTCACCTTTTCCAACTAATAATAAAGAGAGAGAGAGAGAGAGAGAGAGAGAAATAATTGAGAACAATGGAGACCCACCAAAGAAAATGATGAATAGGATGAATCAAAGTAGTCATCCTATTCATCGAAGTATTGATTCATCCTATTTCAGGAAGCCTGTACAATGGCCTGCACGGTTGGCAACCAGCAATCTTTACTTTGGTGCCCATTTCTTTTATGCATGAAAGTGCAGTCAAGATGATGCAAGGCCTTATTTGGGTACGGAAGATAGAACAAGGGTAGGATGCTCTTAGTGTACAGATGCTGCCAGTATGACCAGTCATGAGGGATGATGGGGGTACAACTCAAAAAGATGTGGAGGGAGGGCCCTATTCTCCCAATTCCTGTAAGATTATGTGTAGAGAAGATGGGAAGAGGAAATTTAATTGTTTATTTCTCATAATACATGCCTATATGTTTTTTTTTGTTTTCTATATGTGGTTGTCTGCAGCAAGTTATAGTTCCACTTGAAAGATTTAAACTTTGCAAGATATAGTATTGAAAATTTTATCCCTATAATTTTTAAAAAATCAAACTGAGTTTAAATGCCTGTGTTTTTGTCTTACTTCATTTTAAAAGTTTCCCCTTTTGTTTGTATTTGATTTTTGTCCCATGAGCTCAGGGGAATTGGCTTAACAAACAAACAAACACCTTTACCATTGTAATCTTTTTAAGATGAAGCTTTACAGTGTGAGTCAGACCCTGGATAAGGTAAACCAAGGCTGTGCCTGCAAAGCCATGGCGGTCTTTTTCAGTCTTGAGGCAGTTACTAAAGCCTTTTCACTGAGGAGTAGAGAAACCTGTTATACAAGTTTAATGAAGTGGAGCTTCTGAATGTAGGGTTACCTGCGGTTGGTTCATTGCCTGTAACTCTTCTCTAATAATATGAGGTAAAATTTTAGTGGTTTTCCCTTAGAGAAATAAAGCACAAAACTGATTTTCCACATGGCTGTATTCATCTTGTGTGTCCTCAGTTAGGTCAACCCTTCTTGTTAGGGAGCTCCGCTTAGACCAGAGCACCTCTCATAAGTGAGATATACGACGGACTTGTCTCCTAGAGGGAAACCGCTTTACGTCCTGATACTAATCCATACAGTTGTGTGGCCTTTTCTTTTAGAGGGTGCTGCATTATGCGGTGTTAGATCTCTCCCACAGTGAATGGCTGTATAGAAAAGGAATAACTGCAGTTGAGATTATCTTTTTACAGAAGTCTGTTTTATATTTGATCCAGATAAATTATGTTTGCCTTTAATGTACAAAATTCACATGTATTTTACTGGGTTGTTTAATTCCAGGATGGAATTAGTTGCCTAGATAGACAAATAAGAGTATAATATTAAAAATCATATGTGGCCAAACTCTAGGGAAAGAAGAATATTCTGTTACTTCCCTTTGAAGCAGGCAATAATGTGTGAAATTACATAAAAATGCAGTATTATGATATCAGTTTAAAAACAACAACAACAAAGCAACACACTAGTAGAAATAGACAGCAGTGAATAGTATGTGATAGTATATTCTTCAAGATGGAAAAGAAAAATAATTCCCTTCGAGATCCGAATGATTCAGAGAAGTCAAAATGAAATCAGAGGGGATTACTTTCAAGTGCAAATGTTCAGAAGTGATATGCTGGGCTCTTATGAGCAGAATACTATTTATTGATTATTAGCAGATATGCTTAGTGGTAGAAGAGGGGCCAATTTTGAGATGAACGGCTCTCTTTTTTGTTCTTTACTATGAGCAATAGAAACTTGATTCTTCTTTGTGGCCCCTGAATGCACACAATTGAGCTGTTCTGTGCTTGCTCAGGACCTCTCGGAAGCTTCTAGAGCTTAAAGACATGTGATTAGTGGGACATTCCCCCGTGGAGCGCATGCTCCGCCCACCAGAAGTCCCCTCAGTTCCTTTTAGCCGCCGCTTAGGTTAGACCTATTTCGGAGAGAGCTAGAGCGATTGAACATTTACTGCGATCGGTACTGTAGTTGCTTCTTCTGTATTTCAATTACTTTTTTGTTGGACGTTTCCCCTCTAAATTGATTGGTTCTACTTTTGATTTGATTTAGGTTTTTTCCTCTTTTCCCCCGTTTTTGCTGATTTCCCCCTTCCCCCCCATCTTCCCTCCTTCTCACCAAGTGGAGAAGTCAAAGTCTACCTCGAGACCGAAGTCGAAACTGACATTGAGGACCTCAGCTCCATCAACTGAATCATCTAAAAAGAAAAAAATGTTACTTAAAAAAAAAAGCCTAAGAAATCTACTCAGATTCAACCACCCCAATTGACACTTCCATCCCCAATTTTGGAGGAAAGATCTAGAGACACCTTGGGATTGAGAAAGAGATGAACCACCTCTGCCTCCGGTCCAGGCTCCAGCTTCCATTGGTAGCTTGTTGCCAAGTATTGGCCTCTCTCCGGCTGACATTCACTCAAGCCACACCTTGGCCCATTCAAGTCCTGTGTCATCAGGGCAGGCAATTCTGATTCACATCTCGGGCTCAGACTTGTCTCATCACTCCCCTCGAAAACATTGGGCAAAGAGATGACACTTGTCACCAGTGCAGTATGACTCTACACACAGAGATTACTATTACTACCCAGAATCTTCTTGGTATCAACCACAAAAAAATCTCAGAGATCGATATTACCAACAATATGATCCGTATTTCCCTGAAGATTTACTGGAACAAATTTACTGCACTGAACCCAAGAGAGTTCAATATGCTTTGCCATATCCACCTCCATACTCACCTTCTGTGTCTCCATCACCACCTCAATACTGACACCATTCCCACTCATTGCACTCAACATCGACTCACCAGATCCCGCTTGCTACCAAGCCGACCGTCAAGCACACTACTTCATTATTGGAACAACCACAGTCGAAGCGTTCCAAGCATTCTTCTAAACATCCTCCCCCTCAGAACACATCTCTATGACCACCTATAAGGGTCCTCCTCCTCCTCCTCCTGATACGGAAATGTACTCCACAACCCAAGTACCCCCTGCTTTGCAACAGCCTTTTTTGACACAGCTCTCCACATCAAAATCTTGACATCAATCCCCATGCTCTAAATTGTCCATATCGACCCTTGATTTGTCCTCTGATATTTCTCCAGAATCACCCTCCAATTTACCCACTCCAACATCTGATGTAGTGGAAAATCATCCACCCTCTCCTTCGGAAGATTTTACTTCATACTCACAGCTAGTGATGAGGATAAGTCCCTACAATTAGAAATCTAGGAATCACCACCTCCTAAACAAGACTTAGTTTTTGATAATATTAATCAAAAGAAGACACCTCTGCTTAGCCTTACCTTCGTACGTGCTATGCTAGATTTGATTAAAGGATCATGGGACAAGCCCCCTTCATCATTACAAATTTCAAGACATGTGGAAAACCATTATAAAACCTATGGTCCGGACACTGCCTTTTAATCCAAACATCCGAATTCAATTATTGTGGAATCCAATCAATTCAGAGCTTGCAACAAATCATCAGTTGCACCTACCAACCGGGAGGGAAGAAAGCTAAATATTCTGGGCAAACGTTTTTACTCCCTCACTTCATTTCTTATGCAAGTCATCAACTATCAAGCCACCGTGGGAGCTTACTATAGGCAACTATGGAATAAGATCCTCCCTGTTATTCAAGTGGCTCCTGAGTCTTCTAAGACTGAAGCCCTAAATATTCACGCTGAGGCTTCTACATTGGCCAAACAACAAAGAATTGCTTCCCGCCACACTGCTGATACCACGTCTAAAGCGATGGGTACATCTATTGCCCTTAGTCGCCATGCCTGGCTTAGGTCAGCTGGCATATCTGATGACACCAGATCGAGAATTGAAGACCTCCCATTTGATGGCACTGGCCTTTTCAACGAAAAAAACAGACGAAGTAATGGACAACCTTCTTAAAATCTGGAAAACAGCTTCGATCATATTTCACGCAGCAAACATTTGATACCAGTGACCCCAGTACTGCAGACAGTCCTTTGTCCAACAACCATTTCAGCCATTCTACCAACCATACCATACATACAAGCCGCAAATGCAGGATAAACCTTATTCTGGGCTGTCAATGTTTACCGCACCATCCTTTCAACAACAGCAACCACGTCGACAACCCTTTCGATGCTAACAAAAAAAGGTTAAGTAGTATCAATAAACCCCTTCCATCTTCCACCACTATTTCCACTCCGTTTCAAACCAGGTTATACCCTTTCCTCAGTGCATGGTGTCAAATCACCAAGGACCAATGGGTTCTTTACATTATCGAAAAGGGCTGTTTCATCGATTTTCAGCATACTCCACCTTTCACTGTCATTAAAACTATTCCCCACTCATTGGCACTTTGAAAAGAAATTTCCCTTCTTCTCAAAAAACAAGCCATACTCTTCATCTCCTCCTCTGCCCGGCATGATGGTTTTTACTCTAGATACTTCACTGTACCGAAAAAGGATGGAAGACTCCGTCCCATCCTCGACCTTAGAAACTTCAATAAATTCATTCGACCTAGACATTTCAGAATGCTGACATTAGACACTATCATTCTTCCCCTTTCAAAGGAAGATTGGTTGGTGTCATCGGTCTCCAAGACGCGTATTTTCACATCTCTATCCATCTGAGTCACCACAAA